TGAAAATATAAGAATTACAACCCTTCATAGTGTTCAAGGGATATGAAGCTGATACGCGACAGTAAAAATTAAAACCTATCTACCAGTTATAAGCAGTATCCAAACATTAAATAAATAGTTTATGACACACTTAGTTGTAGTAAATCAGCTATAAAGACATTTTAAAATTCCTTTTAATGAACAGTATTAGTCTACAATTTCATATCCAGGAAGTATTACAACAGTATCATCCTATGGTATTATGTATTTATACAGCTGCCTCCACTTATTGTCGCCCAGAGAAGTTATACTCGTTAACAGCTTGATTATCAATAAGCCGTCACCGGGATTTTGTGTTTATGCATCAAACAGACGCTGATTTAAACGTGAAGCAGACACAGAGCAACATTAGCATCACGTGTTCTTACCCTGGACAGGAGGAGGTACATCTCAAGTTCTGCCACCCGTCGACCCAGACACGCCCGGATCCCAAAACCGAACGGCACCGACCCGAACGGGTGATGCTTGATGTTCTCCTCCTCTCCGCGGAGCCACCGCTGCGGTGTGAAGGTGTGAGGGTTGGGAAAGACGTTCTCATCATAGGACACAGCGTAGTGGCACAAGTGAAACAACGTCTGTGAGAGAGGAAATACTCGTTCATTAAACAAGCAGAACACACGAACTGAAAAAAACAAAAAAACAGCTACAGCTGCACGGAAAGCAATCGTGTCAAAGTGCCATGTGCAAAATCAAATATTTACTGAATATAACCAAAATAACATTTTTTCTTATCAACCATGAAATATCTGAGTTGCTGTGTGTCTCACATCTTTGGGGAAGACGTAATCTCCCACCACAATTTGTCCATCAACATTGACGCGGGCGTTTCCTGGCACCACTGGATACATCCTGGTGAGCACAGAGCAGAGAGGGAGTCAGTGCAGGTTCCATCCTCTTGGAAAGCAGCTCTTAGTTACTGCGACTCTACGTATTCATTGTTTTATTGTCTAGTATTTGTCTCCACTTTGTTTTTCCTTGTGATTAAACTACAAAACTCACTGAGATTTAGTGAGAGAATCGTTCTTCTAATATCACTTTTGGCAAAAATAACCTTGAATCCTGAGCAAACACACTTTAAACAGCCAAATAAACCATCCGATGTCCAAGTGATAGGATGCATTGATAAAAACAGAATCGTCTCTGCTACCGTAGCGTCTCCCTGACGACGGCCTTCAGGTATGGCATCTGAGTGATGTCCTCGCTGGTCGTCATCTTGTCTCCGGGGCAAACTCTTATCACTTCCTGGTACAACTTTTCCTGGATCTCTGGCCGATTTGCCAAGTGGTACAGAGCCCACGAGATCGTGTTGGAGGTCTGCAACCGAGAGGAACTCGCACTGTTATCTGCTGCTAAAGCTGTCGGGGCGTCAAGTGGTTTCATCTTTAATTCAGTGTGAAACTCTAAACTGTGCGTTGACTTTATTATGTTATTGGTGATTCCTGTGGCTAGCCAGATTTAAAAACCTGAGGACAACAGGTTGTGTGAATTAAGAGAGGCTGAGAATGAATCACATTTTCTTCTGTGTTGCCCTTTTTATGATATAAATTGAATCAAGTATCTATATTACATGAAATGAAATTATTGTGATAATCATATGATAATAAATTATCTACATTTGTTTCTAAATCTTGGAAAAAACATCAGGATGGTTAATTTGTTTAGTTTTGTTATTGATGCCTCTTAATCTGTTTTCTTTCTTTTATGGTACTCGTCTTGTGAACACACGACGTGTCGACTCACCGTGTCGACTCCTGCCAGCAGGAGCTCAGTCATGCTTCCCAGAATCTCAGTGACCGTCATCTTATCGCTGAACAGCAGGTGTGTGAGGTACGCTCCCTCCAGCTCCTGGTCCAGTTTCACCTTCTCCTGGATCTCCTCCATTTTTTTCTGCACCAACTCCTCAGCTACAGGACACAAAGAGAAACGTCATCTTTTTTAATATAAGAAGAGAATTAGAAGTAATTAAGTCTTCCAGGTACTCGGAGCTGCTTTACAGAAACAAATAAAAATCAAACAATAATATAATAATAATGAAACTAGTGGTTTTTAAGGGCTTGACACTTTTGGCCAGTAGATGGCATAAGACTGTGAGGGATCTTGTTCAGACCATGGTTAAGACAATGATGTGGATAAAAGAGCAGCAGAATCCCCAAAGTCACAAAAATATAAACATAAGGAACATTTAACCATCAATTACTATAGGTAGTCAAAACAGAACTGATCTGTGAACTAAAAACTCAAATGTAGAGGAACACAAGAGGATTCTACAAGTCACGAAACAAGTCCTGCTCTACAACAGCGGCCTTTAAAAGCCTTCACCAGAGACCAGGTGCACGTAAGAGATTAAGTAAGAGTGATTCACTCTTATTAAACCACCAAAAATTGGCAGCACATCTGCGGAAAACACACCAGCAGGGCCCCGGAGCAGAGGCAGAGATTTGACCCTTGCTCTCCAAGGAATCAATATCGTCCAAGGTAAACTGAAGAGGAGTCAGAATCTGGATGATAAACTGATTTGCGGATGAAGAAAAGTAATTCGATCTCCTCAGTCTGTACCTGGTCACAGTTGGAATTTGACCCACTTCCCTCCTGGGGTCATGGGCAAGACTTTGTTTGCACAAGATAAGGTCACCATACTATTCAAACCCAACTGACGGTCAAGGTCAGGCTGAAAAAGGTCTCTCTTCATAATGCACCCTGAAAATAACAGTGTAATACGGAGCCCTTGGAAGCAACATTACCCCAGACACAGAGAAAAGTTCATTCAAAGTGAACTCTCAGGGTGAAAGTGGTTAGTACTGAACTTTGGACCTTTCACTAATAAATATGAACGTCACATATTTTTGATTGTTAAACGCTGGTGGCTTGTGACATGCTCCACTTTTTTGGTTTTCTGAGGTTGACGTTGCTCACCGACTTTGAAGAGGTGATCCCAGACCGCCACAAACTGTTTCCAGAAGGGAAGGTAGGGCCACGTGTACCTGGGGAACAGGATGACGATTTGGGAGAGCCGAAACATTTGCCCAACGGAGATGATGAACTTCTTGGTTTCCTCGGGCAACACCTGGTTCATGCAGCCCATACGTGTCTCAAACAACACGGAGCAGATACCTACATTTTAAAAAAAACAGAATAAAATGAATATAAAGTCATTGTGAATATCATGAATAGATTTTAATTGGTCATGCACTAGTCTGAGATCTTCCTGTGGGTGAAAATTTTACAATCTACGAAGCGTGTGCAACCACAAGAAAAAAAAACTAATCTTTTTGCAAGCTTTGTGTACGAGGGGTTGAGGACTTGCCCCAAACTGTTCTTCATTAGAAATAAGACACCTGGACCAAACCAAGACACAACATGTCCTAGAACAAAACGTCAGAGGACTGAGGAGTTTCACCAAGTACCTTTTAGCTTGGCACAAAGACGAGGCCTGTAATACCTGGCATTTTTACCACTTAAACATACAAAAAAAACATGTTAGAACGAGAACCAGAATGTCAGAGAGCTCGTTCCTCCACCAAGGCCCAAATGTCCCATTATGAAACCATATTTAAATTCCATAGATCCACATTTTATTTGGATCTGCACCAAATTGCAAATGCCGTCTTTCCTGACCCCTACAGCAACGTTGACTAAAAAAAAACAAAGATTCAAACATGTCCTCCCTGGTGGAGAATGAGAATAATCAGAACTGGTAGTTGGAAGCTCTTTCAATATCGTCAGTGTTTACACTGAGCTATATATTTACTGACACACTAGGTTAAACTAATTCCCTGCAAGAATGTAAAAGAGCATGTTCATCGAGTTTCCCGAGTTTCTAATATTAATCATGGCTGAGGGGGGGTTTCTAAAAAGTGTTCTAATGTTTTGTAGACTTTGGTTAAAGGTCATGTAATGCACCTACTCCTCCCGGTGTGATCTCAGCAGACACTGGGATCAACCCCGCAGTTTATCTCTCGGTATCTAATCAGCGGTCAAGGCCAAAAGACTCTGCAACCGTGTCAAAGTGAACACCCCTGACTGACGGCACGCTCACCCACTCGGTTCCTCCACAGATAAAAAGAAGCTGCAAGATCTGATCTCACAGAGAGAAGAGGGCGAATGAAGTGACGCAGAGTGAAAGAGTCAAGGACAAAATCACCTCCCAGGCTGCGTAGGATTGTTAATAAATAATAAAGAGATTAAACCACTTTAAAAGGTTGAACAGACATTGGTTGGCTTTATCGTCTCAACTCGTATCTGTCATTCATTGAAATCTTTGCTTTTCGTCTTCTGTCTGTCTTCTAGGAACTGGCTCTCCAAGAGGAAATGATTGACAGATCAAATGATTTTTTTGCGAAAGTTGACAGAGATAAAAACATTTTTAAAAAACTGCAGAAAACCTTGTTCCATTCAACGTGTGATGAATGATAACCTATGTTCATATGTGCAGTGACACGTCTTCTGATTAAAGATCCGACCTTCAAAAGCAAATTTGTAGAGTTCTTCCGTCAGGTTATGGACCATAACTCCCTGCCCGTTTTTCTCCCTCAGCCAGACCAGTCTGTCGAAGAAGTCCGTCACCACCTCGTTGATGATGTTGGTGTAGGAGGAAACGTGTTTGGTCTTCAACATCCGCGGGTTCAAGATACTGCGGATTCGCTGCCAGTTGGCCCCCATCCTAAAGAACGGATGATTAATAAGCAGAAATGAGGTTTGGGGCAGATCTGTTCATGTAGACTGAACTTCAGAACATGACCTGAAATGAAAACAATCTTTTCATGACTCCTCCTCGCAGAGGTTTTCAACACAAGGATTTTGAAATCGCTCCGATCAGTTCTGCAGAGGGTGTTTGTTATGGTGCAATAACCGGAGATCACCAAAAATCACCAAAAAAATCACTAAATTCTAAATATATATTTCCTCGCAAGTGATTTCACTTTACAAAAAGAGCTTTGTTGTAAAAGGAAACTTTGACGATAAATGTTCTAAATGTTCTAAATACAAATGACACTATCTCGCAATAGCACCAGCATTTCCACCACCTCCATTTCAACACCTTCGCCCTGGCTTTATGAGCTCACCCGGCTGTTGCCTACAGTCTATGGACATTATGAAATAAGGTGAATGTGACTCATAACCAGAGGCCCCACATATTAAACAAACAAAATAAATTCCAGCTAGCTGCCCTGCGGATGTGTAAAATCGGTTGTGACCCTGGGGCTGGTACCACAGCAAACACACATGTTAAAAACACGAAACTGATCCCTACTAATTCCTGGAGTTCCACCTGACCCACTGCCAGCACATTACAATTGAAAAGCATCAGAGGAGTGATGCAAACTTTTTTTAAGGTTGTAAAAATGCTATCTGACAGTGAAGTCTAAGTATTTTTCAATCTATATAAGCTTCAGGTAACATCTCTGGACACAGACACAACTCCAGAAAATGCATTGTTGAGCTCCCAATGCATTTTTTTTCCCTTTCTCTCCCCTCTGGCCTGAGAGACAAAGCTAAGAGAGGTCGACTCACCCTGTCAGGGGTCCGTGGGCCTGGTTCTTCATCTCTCGGTACAACCTCCAGTGGGGCATGTCAGTCCGGATCGGGTGTTTCCCCTCCTGCCTCAGAACCTGCTCTATCAGTTCTACCTGAGCCACGTTCACCACGATCAGGGGACCGTACACCGACTTCCACAGCGGACCGTAGATCTTGCGGTGCTCGATCTTTGAGCAAAAGACATAAGTTAATGAATCATTTTTTGTGGGACAGAATGTATTTAAATGAGAATTTGCTTTTGTGTGTGTGTGTTTGCAACGCTTGAATTTAAGATTCACTTTGACAAAACAGTTGCAACAAACTAAGTGAAAGTTGAAAGTTTTTCTTTTTTGTGTAACAGCGTCTCAATCACTCTGCTGTCTTCTTACCAAGCTGAGCATTAAAACCAAATGTTGTGTGTCATTCTTGAACCTTGGGGGTTGACGGGTAGATCAGGTTCTACCTCAAACTACTTATCCACTTCCGTTCATTTAATTTTCCTCGTCTGTAAACCTCTCATCAAGACGCCTGAAGGAGTTCAGGCTCTCAGCAGCAGGTGCAGCTGTCATCGCAGGGTTTCAGGTTTGCAGAAGCCCTTCAAATTAATTCATCAATATCTCAAAAGAAATAAAGTTTTCCAAAGTACCATTTTAAGAAGCTCTGGGGGAGTTCACTGATATTAAATTCTTATTTTTCTATAGATTGTGCATGATAACTTAAGGAATGCAGCACTGTATAAAATGGCCATTGTTAGTTTGATAGCTTATTTTATTGTTTTTTCTTTTTAATCATGTTGTTATTACACAGCGATGCATTTTCTGTTTTTATGTCTGTGAACCACTTTGTTAAATTATTTTTGAAAAGCACAATGTAAATTAAGTTTTTTTGTATTTCTTATTATTCTGGTGTACTTGTACTGTGATAGAGTAAGGGTGTTTCACAGTAGTAGGACATGAAATACCTCAAACACACTGGAGAATATTTCATAATCCCTAAACCAAAGCAATAGAATGTAGAATAATCCTCATGATGTTTTCACTAGGTCATTTCATCTAAATTGTATGAATTGTAGTTTTCTT